AATTAAAAACAAGTTTCTCATTCCAGTTGTGTAAGACTTGTTGGATGAGTTATCAGGTTCTACCTATTTTTCTAAGATAGATCTTAGGTCTGGGTACTAGCAAATCAGAACCAAAGAAGAGGATATTTCAAAAACAACATTTCGTATTCATCATGAGCATTTTGAATTTAAGGTAATGCCCTTCGGTTTCACTAATGCCTCATGCTACTTTTCAAGCCCTAATGAATGATTTATTTGGCCCTTATTTAAGAAAATTTGTTTTAATTTTCTTTGATGATATGTTGATTTATAGTCCTTCCTTGGAGGAGCATATGACTCATTTGAGGGTGGTGTTGGATATTTTGAAAACTAATCAATTATTTGCAAGGAGGAAACAGTGTTTTTTGCTCAATAATATGAGTATTTGGGCCACATTGTGTCTGCTATGAAAGTGGCCACTGACCCTGCCAAGGTGAAGGCTATGAAAAATTGGAAACAATCAAAGAGTTTAAAGTCCCTCAGAGGTTTCTTAGGATTAATAGGGTACTACCGAACATTTATTAAACACAATAAGCAGACCACTGACAAATATGTTGAAGGACAGATTTGTGTGGGCAGAGAAAGCTAAAACAACCTTTTAGTTGCTTAAGGAGGCTATGTGAAGGCCCCTGTACTAATCTTGCTAGATTTCAACAAAACATTCTATTTAGAGATAGACGCGAGTTCTAAGGGCGTTGGGGCAGTTTTATCACGGGGGCAACCCATTGTCTATCTTAGCAAAGCTTTGGGAGTGAGGCACACAGACACGTCCAAATACGAGAAGAAATACTTGGCAATATTGATAGTAGTGACCAAGTGGAGACACTACCTTGAAGGGCGACCTTTTGTCATAAAAACATACCATGAACCTTTAAAACACCTCCTTGAACAAAAGTTAGTTACTACAATCCAGAAAAAGGGTCTAACTAAACTCTTGGGTCTGGATTATGTTATCAATTATTGCAAAGGTAAAACAAACATTGTTGCTGATGCTTTATCTAGAAGTTATGAGGAGGATTCGGAGCCACTTCAGTTAACTGCTGCAATTATTACTCATGCTTAGGTGGTTGAAGTGGAAAATACCTATGTTAATGATAAACTAGCAACAAAAATCACTGCCTTAACAGTGAAGTGTGATGGTGTGGAAGAATGGTCTTTTGTAAAAGAAATTTTGAGATTAAAGGGCGAGTCTATATTGGTTCAGGCGGTCAGTTAAGGATTGACTTCATTCAAATTATGCATGATTATCTATTTGGGAGGTCATTTGGGAGGGCGGACTACTTATCAAAGAATCAGATCCTATTTCTACTGGCTGAATTTAAAATCAATTATATTACTTCATGTGCAGCAATGTGATGTGTGTCAACAAACAAAAAGCGAACATGTGGCAAAACCTGGTTTATTAAAACCATTGTATGTTCCTTCTAATACCTGGGAGGTGATTACAATGGACTTCCTTAAAGGTCTTCCTACTTCATTGAAGCTCAATTGCATTTTGGTAGTTGTAGATAAACTAACCAAGTACAATCATTTTATTGGGTTGTCCCACCCTTGCACAGTTTTGGAAGTTGCCAAACAATATCTTGACAATGTTTACAAACTGTATGGTTAACCTCATATTGCCATTTCAGATTGAGACGGAACATTCACTAGCTTGTTTTGGAAAGAGTTTATGAAGCATATGGGTACAACTACATTTTTTAGCACTGCCTATCACCCCGAGACGATGGCCAAATGGAGAGCGTGAATCAATGCCTAGAGCAATACCTTAGGGCTTTATGTTTCCAAAAACCAAAGGGTTGGGCTAAATGGCTTCTTTAAGCAGAGTATTAGTACAATACTAATTTTCACACTGCCATTGGTATCACACCACTTGAAGCTTTGTATGGCTACAAAGTTCCATTAGCGACAAAACTCCAGGAATTGCCAGTACAAACAGTTCAAGAAATGAAGCAGTAGAGGGATCATATGCTAAGAGTACTTAAAGAAAATTTAAGGCACGACATCCCATGAAACAAAATGCAGATAAACATCACAGTGACAGACAGTTTCAGATTGGGCATGGTGTTTACCTAAAGCTACAACCCTATCGTTAGACATCTTTGGCTCTTCGAAAGAATCTTAAGCTTTTTGCCAAGTTTTATGGTCCCTACAAGATAATTGTTAAGTATGGATTAGTGGCATATAAACTAGAACTTCCACCAACGTAAAAAATCCACCATGTGTTCCATGTCAGCCTATTGAAAAAGAAAATTGGTGAGAATACAATTCACGAAGTCAAAGTCAATAGAAGTTTTGAAGTCATTAAAGGAAACGACAGTGTTAAGGAGAGCAAGGCAAACGACGGCGTTGAAGAAAAGGAAGATGGGCTAACAGAGTTTATGAAGAATGGGCTAACACCTTACCTGAAGGAACCCAAGACTTAAGCTGATGGGAAGGGTCCTCAACTGCAACGGCCAAGTTGTTAGCCACCTAGAGCTGGCTGTATCAACCTTAATACAATGTATAGAATAAAATGCAAATTTGTTGATGTACCGAGTATCGATGAAATTTGAATGCAATTATGAGTTTATTTCCTCCTTTTCTTCTATTTCTAAAACCCTTTCTTGACTCAAATCATCACCCCAAACCCAAAGCATTGAGTCTATACTTCAACACAATTATGGTATTAATATGTTTCATTATATATTCAGAGGAGAAAATAAGGGTTCTTTTCAAACATTTTTTTTTGTTGTCGTCCTAGTTCCTTAGGATTTTTGTCATGACAAATCCGGGTCGATCTGTATCGCACACTTAGTTTTAGTGAGTGAGTCTATCAACAGAGATTTTCTGCATATTCAAGGTATCGGACTCGACACATGCTTAAGCGATATCAAGTTGCTTACCACTTAACAACTTGAACCTATACATTTTGGTACAATGTTTACGCTAATTATAACCCTATCCACTTATAAATTAAAAGATATTAACTGTTTAAACATGTTCGATCTTATTTCTTATGTCCTCTTATATAGTATATCAAGGACATGCCTATTAAATTAAACTCGAATCACATAATACTTATATTACATGTTGCTAAATATTTTTTTTTAAAGATATAACTTCAATTCATATAAAAACTTTACACAAGCAACTTCCCTTATAATATTTTTTTAAAGAATCTTTTATTTTATTATCGAAAGTTAAAAATGATATCTTTAGTCCATTGGAAAATTAATAATTTATTTAAGCCCACTTGAACCCTATAATTAAATGGAAAGATTCTTGCAATGAACCAGGTGTGCATTTTATATACTTAAATTGTTTGAAAAAACTCATAAATTATCATGTTTAAACTACTAATTCATTTATTTTTAGTTGTTGTTATATCGAGACAAAATAGATTCTTTTGGAACACCATTAGCTCAAACTTCAATTTTGAAGACTAACCCTGGTAAACAAAAAGATTTTATCCTCTATATTTTGGTAGATAATAAAGATATTTGTATAAATACTTTATGATACTTATGTTTTTTGTAGTTGAATGGTAGATTAATTATGAAAATTGTGCACCGCAACTTCAACACATCGCTGTCAAAGTTTTGAGTCAAACAACTTCATCTTCAGATTGTGAGCGTAATTGGAGTACTTTTAGTTTGATCCATACAAAGAAGAGAAATAGACTCAAACATAAAAAAACTTCAAAAATTGGTTTATGTCCATTATAATATGAGGTTGAAGCTGAGACACATGCAAATAAAAAAATGCACAATAATTAGAAATGGGTTTTAATTCGATTAATCTTGAAAATATGTTTGTAGAAGATGACCTACTAAATTCATGGATTTAAGAAAAAGAGAATGCTACACTTGATAGTGAACAAAATTTCTAATGGTTGCCCGAGGAGTTACCTAATGAAATTGATGAAGAAACTCAAGGTGAAGATATGAACAGTTCACCTACTCCATCTAATAAGGGAAATGTTCAAGTATCGATGTCAAGTTATGATGATGATGATGACGATGACAATGATGATGGTGGTTGTGATGATCATGGTGGTGATAATGAAGGTACGTACCAACCAGAATATAGACACATTTATTCTACTGCTTTTCATGGAGATCAAGGTTCGTCCAGATATCCTTATGATGATAATTCAGGTTTGTATGGAATAAATGCATCACAAAATATAAGAGATGATGATGATAAAACTCATAGGATGATGGGAGAACACTTTTATGATTCATTTGCAGATTCATTATCATATAGTTCAGCTACAAATGATAATGAAATTAGTGAATCATCTCATGGTTCTCATTATTACCAACCAAATTTATGTTATTCACCTTACCTTGAACAAAATCCAAGTTATGGATTTTTTTGTCATCATTTATCATACATCATGCTTCCTATCAATGATGCATATTATGATGCACATAATGTGACGTCTTCTTCACATGGAATAGGAAGGAATAAAAACCAAGACAATGATGAAGATGGAAATGCTTTAGATCCGCCACGTCATTTATTTTGGTGGTGAACTGTAAGATATAAATTTTTTATATTTGTAGTTATGTATTTTTTTTCTTTCTTTCTAAGTTATGTAAAATGAACAGTTTTATGTTACAATATAAAAAATTGATATGATTTTAGTGATATTGTTTATATGTTATTCATTAACATTATAATTGTTATTACCTATTATCCAGTATGATAACACTTCTATGGTTTATATTTGTTTTTAATAAATTTTTATCTATTAAATTTAATTTTTATTTTCAAAATAAAATATTAAAATAGTATATTAAAAGATAACTGTAAAATGTATAAATATAAGATTTTAGACGTATTGTGATTTTTGAGAAAGAGATCACACTCGCGACAGCCGCAACACATTATGTAACGTCCGTAGCATCCGCAACCGCGACACCACAACCGCATCCGCAACAAAATCCGCAACCGCAATTTGATATTATACCATATTGGCAAGAACGTTCGGTATGTCAAAGATCATATCGTCGTCGTTCATTGTCCTCGATACTGAATAAAGCATCATTTAACGCCCTGAAAGTTGCCGCAGCAGAGCTAGCAGCCGCCTGGATATCCCGAGGCGAGTTGGAGGCAGGGTCGGTCTTGACATTTTAAGGGCCCTAGGTAAAATAAGAGATAAGTGCCCTTAAAAATAACTTAAAATTCAAAAATAAATTTCGATAAACGCCAAACAAATCTTTCATTAAAAATTATACGAGTAGATTCTATCACATTAACCAACATTATTTTACCAAATATATAAAGAGACATCTCAATTTTCCACTCAATTTACTCATATTATGTCTTAAATCATCTCTTAGTATTCATATTAGTCATATGTTCAATACTATTTTCATGTTGTTTAAGCCTTTGGCTAATATGTTTCCAATCACTTAAGCCATCATTTGCTAACAAACTTACATTACTAATCGATTTGAACAACTTACAACAAAAACAATATACTTTGTCAACACTTTTGGAATAAACTAACCATTTTCTATCACTAGACTCACCATTGCTCAACTTTCTAGTATAACATTCATATGAGAAATGTCTGTAATATTTATCAACAGGAAATTCAAGATCCATTTCTCTTATGGACCCTTTTTCAACTAATATATCCATCACATTATTACCAAGATTCTCCCAATTTATAGGATCATATATATTCAAATGAGGAAGTGTTTCTTCACCAATGCCTAAATTTTCAACATTTTCATCAATTGATACATCATTAAAGTCAATTGGATCATTCACTTCATCATCCACATTTTCATAATTTCCAGGATTTTCAGTATACAAATTTTCAGTTGATTAATTCAAAGTTTCATGAGAATCAGCCTTTTTAAACACAAATTTATCAAGAGCACCTTTTTGGGACTTCTTTAACTCCTCCTCTTGCTTCCTTTTTTTTAACGAGGATTTATCATGAAAGAATACAAGAATTTTAACGAGGTTCGGCAATGTGCTTACGTCATCAGTGCCTAGGCGGCGCTAGAAGTTTTATTCAATATCTCATAGGCGGTCCCTAACCCACATAATCGTTATTGGTATATTTATAAGTCATACCTAACAAGTTCTAATAAATAAGTATAAGAAAGGAACAACTGCACCTAGATTCTTCAATTAGAATTGTAACCCATTGGAGTAAGATAAAATTTCAAATTCCCAATTTAATAATTGACACAAATATTAATAGTTATAACATGAACACCAAAATAAAAACATCAAAAAGTATATTAAAGATACAAGGGTTGGAATAAAAAAAACTAAAACTTGAAGTTTAATTCAAAAAAAAAGGCTAATGACTACATCCAAAACCCTAATACTAACCTCAGATCTAACCTGAAAAAGACCCGACCCTTCGAATACCTCGCACTCCGGCAACCCTCGACGACGGATCAGCCTCTACTCACCCCCAAAACCACCGAACCTACCTCTCAAAACCTAGAACTAGGTATAAAACCAACATCTAAGAACCCTAGAACGTTTTAGCTATTCGGCCTCCTTCCCTATGACCTAACCGTCGACCCTAACTCCGGTGAGACCCCTCATTTCTCAGGTAAATTCTAGGCTTATTTATTTTTTTATTACGTCGAATATATGTATGAATCGTTACTATGCTCGACAAGGAAAAATATTATGTATTTGAACTAAAAAAACATAATCTCTCGATGAATTAGAAGTGAACCGATAAAAAAAAACACATACATTCAAACATAATAAAAAAAGAATAATATGTAACCTTTGGAGTATGCTATTTCTTGAATATGAGCGTTTACAATGTATTTTTGCTAAGATTTTTCCCTTGTTTCAATCTGTTTTTTCTCTTCCCGTTCGACTCCTCCCACCTCTCGTTGTTATGCTCCTTTTATTTATTCTCCTTAGATAAGATGATAAGGTCTAATGAGTAGGATTCCATTTTTTCTCTGATTTGGTAAAGAAATCCCAACTTTTCGAGATTTATTTTTTGTTTTTTAATCCTTAGTGGTTTAGGTAAAAATTTGAGTGGGATTATGGGAATGGTGACGCCAGACAGAATAGTGATTATCCTGTAGGCTAGCTCCGACAGACGATTCACAAGAGAAAATTCGCCCAAAAACCAGAGAAAAAAGTCTCTAGGGTTTAATAAAATATTATAAAATCAATAACTATCTCAAAAGCAGTCCACAAGCCGGACTGTTATAGCAAAAAAAATCGTCTTTATTCGAATTTTGCCAAAAATAGCAAAAATCGTATTTATTCGAATTTTGCCAAAAATAGCAAAATCCCGAAAATCACTCTAAATTGAAATTCGAAATAAAATAAGCAATCTCCCAAAAATCCGGTCTAAATCGGATTTAAATTGACTTCCTAATTAACAATCGAAATATTACCATAAATAGTAAAAAATAACTAAATCTAGTGATTCGGAGGGGAAAACGGCAGAATTTGAGGTTGAAAAAAGGCCACATGGAGCATAGCTCATGTGGAGAGCGTGCGCGTCGAAAAGAGCTTTCCGGATTGGGGTCTTATGCGCGATTCTGACACCTGTAGCCAAAGTTATGGCCAAAAGACTGAAACATACTCAAAACGACCCCAATAAGGAACATGTCACAATCAATTCCCGCCTTTGCGCTGATCTGCCAACTCATGGTATCTCAGCGCCATCAACGTGCAATCTGACAGCTCAGCATCATCTGTCTCGGATCCCCCTGCATCAAATGGTGAAGGCATGGGCTGCTTGGCTTCAAGTGGGAGCTGAGTTGTTGTAGCATGTGCAATGGAAAAGTACTTCACGTGGGGTCATGGGCTGTTGAATAAAATAAGAAAAATGTTGCTTACATTGATATATATTTTTATTATTGGATTAACTATATAATTATTCATTAAATTATGTAAAAATATTTGTTAATTATTAAAATTTAAAAATTATAAAATTATTATTATTTTTAAGAATGCCCCCTCTAAACCTGGGCCCTAGGCGATCGTACTCCCGGCCTGGGCTCAGGGCCGGCCCTGGTTGGAGGCCGGCACAGGCAGAGAGGAAGCGGAGTTGGGGAAGTTAAGCTCGGCATCTTGGCCTCTTAGGGCAAGTGCTGCAACATCATAAGCAATAGCAGCCATTTCCGCCGTAGGAAATGTGCCTAGCCAGATTCTGTTAGGTTTCCTTGGCTCTCTAATTTCCGACACCCATTTCCCACTTCTCCGACGCCTTACTCCCCTGAATAACTGGTGAATATGGCCCGTGGCACCACTGGAACTTGTAGCGGAACCACTTCCTCCACTGCCGCCTCTTGTGTCAGAACTCTTTTTGGACTTTGAGTAATGCATGGTGAGTAACAAATGGCGTGAAGCTTTGGGGTCTGAAGTTGAAGATGAGAGAATCCATTTATGGTGGTGTTGCAGAGAGAAGAATTGGAATTCCCAAAGCTCCACAATGAATGAAAAAAAGTGCAAAGCAGTCGTTGATGAACTGCAGTCTGAAGATAGGTGGGTTGTAAACCAGATATATGTTGGATATATGGGTTGGAGACTGCTATTTTGGCTGCTGAAAAACAAAGTATATCTCAACTCTGACTCTTTGATCATTACTTCAACGTCAAATTTTGTTCCCCAGACAATAATACTAAAGATTTCGACTGTACAATTATTATATTTGAGAAAACATGTGGCTTCTACAATCTTACTGCTCAAAACTTGTGTTGAGTAGTGTAAGTTTTTCCTTCTCGTCTATGTGAACCTCTCTACATTTACAATCGTTAAAAATGTGGCTCTCATAAGATAATTAATATTAGGGTAAAGTATACAAATGGTCTCACGATTATAGGTTGTTGCTTTATTGAGTCTTCAAACTATTAAAAGTTACAAAATGGTCCCTCGACTATATGATGTTGTTTTGTTGAGTCCCGACTATTAAAAGTTACAAAATAATCATCCAACTATTCATATGTTTCAAACTCCTATTTTTCATTAAAAAATTAACGATCTTCTGAGCTGGACGTTAAACTGCTGACTGAAATATGATAAATTTATATTTTAATGATGTCTACTAGCACCGCCGTTGCTTTCAAGCACTGACTCGTTGGCATAATGTTTCAAGCATCAACTCGATGACATAATTTAAACAGAGACTCGATCCACAAAATACAACTCAAACGGTTCTGGAATAAGATTTTATCATATCCCAGCGAGTAGTTAACATCCAACTTAAAAGACCGCCAATTTTTTAACGAGAAAGGATGAGTTTGAAACATATGAATAATTGGATGACTATTTTGTAACTTTTAATAGTTTGAGGACTCAACAAAGTAGCATCCTAAAACTTGGGGACCATTTATGTACTTTACCCAAAATAAAAATTACAAGGTTGGTGAACTCAAGTGTAATATTTTATTCATATAATAATATTAGTTAAGGGTTAGGTTATATTTTGATCAAAATAATAATCGACAATTAAATTAAATTTTAGTTTAATTTTAATAGTCGGAGATTATTTAGTATTTAAGTTTACTTAATATGTAAATACTTATTTTAATAATGAAGTCTTATTGAATAAGGTTTATTGGTGATCGAGTGTTTGATTCTATAACTATAGAGTAAGTCTTAACCTTTAGAATTATAAGAGAGAATGATTTTGGAGAGACGTAATCATTTTATGATCTTTGTTACTTTTGGGTTTTATGTTGCAAAAATGAGTTTTGTAGGGATATTAAAAGAGTAATTTGATATACTTTAGGATTTGATTTAGATGTCGGATTTTATGATACATGTGAAATCATATATTTGTATCATTTGTGATCTTTACGTTTATAATGAGTTACTACTATTATTCTTATTTGTACATGTAGACAAAGCTGAACAATATTAAATATTATTTCTTACTCATATCTTATTTTATGTTGATATCACTTTGATTATTTTTTTGCTACTAAATTCTAATATATTATAAGATTAAGGATAGATTAGAAAATACATATGAAGAGAAGTATCCTTAATTTATTTTGGACAATCATTCTTTAAACTTGAATGGTTCTTAAATTAAAATTTTTAATATTTAATATTCCTTCTATATTTTTGAAATGCTCACCCACGAATTTAGGTGATTATTAGTAATGCTCACGAAGTAGCGATATTATGACATGCATAGAGTGGGGAAATTTTTCCCTCTTATCCTATTCCACCAAGTGCCACATAAGATATTAGAAATATAAATACTTATGTTTCTCTCCATAAAAAAATCACAATATTATTGTGTTTCGAGTCTATTTACTATCCATTAGAAAATATCTTTGAATTGGAATCCATCAACAAGTAACCTTCTATCTAAAATAAAATGTGTGAATCATAAATCATCGTTCAACATCTTTTATCCATAACTGATTAAACTACCATAAATCATCAATTCATATATTTTATATCAATATTTAGCACGATAAGCGTGGACCGTCTTTTCTACCATGGTACCTAAACTCAAACGTGCAACCTCGTGCTCAATTTTAAAAACAAGGTTGAAATTAATTGATAAGAAGAAGAATGAAATTAAGTAATGCACATGATGGACCATTTGAAGTTGAAGAAATGGGAAAACGTGGTAAGAATAAGAAATAACGTGGCACAAAATGGGAAACACCAAAATACAAGCACAATAATAAATTAAAGTCAAATTAAAAGTACCAAGGGACGATAATTGTCGACCATGGGACGAACATAATGAAACATGCAACTTTAATCTTACATTGGTAAAGTTCTGTAGAAAGTAGTATAATTAATATTATTGTTGTTGTACATTTAATTATAAAATCATGAGAATTTATTTAGTGATTTCGGTAATTAATTTTTTTTTTTTAAGATTTTGAGTTTGAACACCTACGTCTATAGGGTGTGTACGTGTTGTCAATGATTAAGAAAAATCATAAACAAATACTATCCTATAATCACTCCAAACTACTAAAAATACATAAGAACTAACTAATTAGAAGACATGTCATATAATTGCATGTAAGCAGGGGTGGATGTATTAAGCTCATGTAGGAGCCATTTGAATACCCATTATTTCAGGAAAAAAATGTTAAATTTAATTTAGCATATTAAGGGGAGGAGAAAAAATAAATTACATATTCATTTTTAAAAAGAAACAGAGAATTAAAATTTTGGATCTCTATTTATAAATTTCTAAATCTATATTATGATATAGTGAGAATGATTATGATGTGACAACAACAATAATATTAACAATGTTCGTATTAAACTGATGAACTCGTTAAAAACCATACCAAACTACTCTCGAGCTTGCTACTTGTATTCCTTCTGCAACACCCACCGACCGATGCGGGTAACCCGATCCGATCTGGAGTATCACATTAGGGTCACCGGAGCGACCCACCGTAAAAATAGCGGAAAATTAAAAACTTTATTAAAACATGTAACTCATAAAATTATCAATATGCAGAGATAAAACAGATTTTCTGACTCATATATAAAACAAAATACAATTATATGCCCCCTAATCACAAGTATCATACTCTGCAAGCATTGCCGGAAGAACTCCTTTACTGATGTCGATAGATGCACTGATACGATTCTTTTAACCTAAAAAGGTGAGTAACAAAGTGAGCTTTAGGAAGCTCAGTAATACAATACTACCAGTTGATGCTACAGGATATGCAGATAAATTGAAAGTCATATAATTTCCTTATTGAATCTGACATATACCAGTTTTCGGGATAATATGGGGTTCTACTGGGTAGTTCATCGAGTAAAAGCCATAAAGATCTCAGTTCATAGGAAACATTCATAGTATCACATTTTTAGGAAGTCGAATAGGATGTCTAGTGTGTTCTAATCAAAACCAGTGAAAAGATATAAATCTTTTAAAACCATACCAGACCCTCCAACCATATTCCATTATGCAGTTTCCCATAACTGCATCCATAGGGGCTTACTCTAAGCACACATCAAAGGGAGCCAACCTAATGGAGCATCTTGAGGCTTGAGAGCCTACCCAAGAAAGTTCTCAGGGCCACGGGGCCTACCCAAGAAAGATTTCGGGGCGCAGGGCCTACCCAAGAATGATCTCAGGGCCGTAGAGCCTACAAAATAGTCACATTAGGTCCGTAAAGATTTATCAGCTTGATCAGAACTGTACCTCCATATTTTAGTCTTATCCAAAATCGGTATCTCAAAGATATAATTTGTACAGTAAGCAGAATTTCCATAAATCTGTAATCATCATAATCATATACCAGTGAAAACCAATAAGCAGATAACAATCATAGTCCATAAGCCATCACCAGTAAGTCGGTGCATCAATAAAACAGTAAACCATAGATTTCGGTGTACCATATTTCAAAATAGATAAACCAATTAAGTAGTACATAGGGAACACACTAGAGGGTCAAAGTATTTTTCAGAGACACTTAGTAGTTATCAAGTTGGATAACATGAAACTAATGTCTTTTGATCAAATCCCAGGAACGAGGTCCTATTAAAAGGAATCGATAACTAGTCGTTCTAATCAGACATTTAAATCGATACTTTAGAATCCCACTATGATTCAGGTGCATCCGGAAGGTGTTCAGGAACCTTTATACTGAATGAATTTTAGATTCAGATTTATGGAGAGTGATTCCATTAATCAACCAATCTGGGGTATCCAGAATCCTTTGCATCTGAGTTACTTGTATGAATCAGATATAACCGAAGTGATTTGAGCTGATAAGGGAGAAACACAGATTCAGAACATTTACCCTTTATATTGATCGATCGGACTATCAAACAACTCCCAGAATTGATGCCTGTTGATTAGTCAATTCCTTGCCCTTCTAGGGTATTCACTCTTTAATACTTAAAATTTATTGTACATAGATCCTCTTCATAAAATTTATTGTCCAGAATTATCATCGATCGAAACTTGAGGAGACAAACAACATTCAAGTGGTATCTATGCCGTTCAGATACTCACATAGTATTAACGTTGGTCGACCGGCTTAAGGTGTTTTCCATAACCTTTTAAGGGCAATGCAACATCCATGTTTATTTGGATTCCTTAATGAATCCAACACATTTACTTATTCTTGGCCATAAGGATATTTTGGTCATTTTGGTGCTCAATGTTGTTCTTGTCATTTCATAGATTGAGAATATCCAATCCTTCTAGGGCTTGATGAAATTTGTGGGTCATTTGCATTCTAGGGGTATTTTGGTCATTTTATAGATACAGGGTATTTCAATCATTTTTTTTTCATCCGATCTTATTATTTAATTCAAACTTATGATATATTTTAATCCTTCTGAACAATTCTATCAAAAGAGCACCATTGATAATTTATTCT